TCGGCATTCTGAGCAGGTAGGCAGGTAACATGGTGCTGCTGAATTCTCTTGCCAGGGATACGTTACTTTTCCTAGTGAAATTAAATTTTTGCCTAAAAGCAAAAACTGAAAATTTGGATTATTTTTTTTTAATATACTTCCTAGTTGCAGTCATATTTCATGGTAACTCTTCAAGCTTTTTCTAACATTTTCAAATGACATTTTTATTAACACTAACAACATTTTTTTGCCACGCATGACGAGGTCATAAGCCTGTATTCTGAACTGAAATTAAAACCAGAGGTATGGTCATAGGAGGAAGATGCCAGTTATAGATTAAACAGGTGCAATTTTTAAAAACATTTATCTGTGCCCCTTAAAATCTCCACAAGTTTCTGTGAAGTGAATTAATGAAAATGAATACCTACCACGATCAAGTAGTTTATCCACTAAAAATGCAGTTTCGGTTCATCTGCATCTATGAATTTAATAATGATGAAAATAAAAAGTTGGATTTCTTTATCAAAAAAAAAAGAAATGGTTTTTATTTTGTTTCCTCTTAGAATGGACTAAAATCTAAATGTACTGCCCTCAGTGAAACAGCTTCTTTGGGCGCTGGTACTTGAAGTCAGTCAAACAATTCTTGTGAGTAACTGCTTACCAAAGGGCTTAGGAAAAGCATTGCAGTCTATGCCATAGAGTGATGTATTTTTTATTAAAAAAAAAAAAATTGTACCTCACCTAATCTTGTTTTTATAACAAAATTCAGTATTATTTTGTTGGCTTTTTCCCCCTTTTTGCCTTAATCATGGACTTAAAATTATCCCAGGAATTGTTCCTTTGCTGGTAAAGGATCAATCTGAAGGATATGGGGAAAAAAAAAAAAAAGAGAGAAATGACAAAAGGCAACATCCACTAAAGAACTTCTCTGAGATCTTCTTCAGTGACACAGATGTGAGGGAAAATCATACACAAAGCAAACCTGCAGACATTAAATTGGGAGGTACTACAACGCAAGCAGAGCGAAGCTGCACAGAGGCGGCAGAATAGGGACAGAAAAAAAGGTAACGAGAGTCAGCTTCACCAGTGTGAGCTAATACATTTAAGGGAAACGGCTTAAAATGCGGACAACGGGGCAGGTGACATCTAGCGATGCTGCTGAAAGCCTGTATACGCCGCAGTAGGCGGCTTGTTTATTCAGACGCGTACATAAGCTCTCATCACAAACATCTTTCAAAGCCCTGAACGGACGACGTTCCCACGGCGCTCCTTCGGGCTCTGGCCACAGCGGGCAGAGCAGAAAGGGAGCTCCGGCCGCTTGGCCCTTCCCAGGGGACGACCTGCTGCCGGCAGCTCAGCTTCAGGCACTGAAAGCAAAATCACTACGTGTGCATCCGAGTCTACGAGGCCCTCTGCGGTCCACAGATTCAATCTATGTCTTGAATGCTAGAGCCTGGGACTATTTAGAACCCATTTTTTCCTCTAAACAAACCTGTTAGCTCTCTCAAGACTTACAGCCCTGATATGCGCTCACAGTATTGCATGCCTGTGAAGAGCAATGCTGTTGCGTGAACCAAAGCTTCTAGGTGTGCCTAGGTGTAGGATATTAGTGAACAAGCAGGAATTAGGAAATTTCTAGAGACTAGGAATACAGGGCAACAGGGATTTGACTTACGAAGAGATGTTAAAGAGATGAGCACAAAAACAGTGCCTCAGGCAAGGAGATGTGGCAGTCAGCCATACGTGTTAAAGTGCACAAACAGAAAACATGGAGTGCGATTCAAGGAACCACAGTAATGAGATTACAGCTACAAAATACAGATTTAAGTTAATTAGGATTTTTTTTTTCTTATTTACCTCAAGGGAAAGGCCAGAATTACCATCAAATGGGATATTCACTGGAATAAGTACAAAATGAACCACAGAAAAAAAATCCTCACTGACACAGCAGATGGGGCTCACCACTGAATAAATCTTTTCTGTCTTTAATTCACTTCAGCCAAATCCTGAATCCATCACTGCAGCAGACTCTGAGCAAAGCTGGTGGACAATTCCCACAGCAAGACTCAGGTTTCCTGCTCCATTGACTCCTAGGTGTCCTACCACTTCCAAGGAAACCTCTTCACACAGCTCAGGTGCAACTGTCCTTACCAAGGCCAAAAATTGTTACTGTGGCGACCACGTAAGATGATTAAGGTGAGGAATCAAGACAGACATTAGGATTACTTTGCTTATTCTGGTCATAACTTAGGAAATAATTTAGCCTGCTTAACCTTCAGCATAAATAGCACTGTCTGGACTAATTATGGTAGGAAAGTGCACTGTATATGTCAGTTTTCTGTTGAATGAGCCTGAAGGTTGCTACCAGCCGATGGACAGACCCACCTGCTAGCGCATTTTTAGGAGCAATTTGAAGTTCTGCAGGGAATACTTTTGTAGTGCTGAGGGGTATTTCTTATAGGTAAAAACTTCTTAAAACAAGAGCTTCTTGTACTCACAGCTATTTTACGTTAAATGTACTCACAGCTATTTTACGTTAAATCTGTATCAAGAAAATCGTTGTTTTCATAAGGTAATTTTAACATCTTACAAAGTACTGTGGTACCACCTTGTGGCAGTTTTCTGGATAACACTGCTGGCAGTAAGACTCAATGAACATTTTAAAACGAGATTAGAACAACTCAAATTTGTTTTGATCAGAGTTTTGAGCTACTTCCAGGACTTTCAGGGACAGGACAGTATACTTCCATGGATTTATGGTCTCTGCGTTATAGAATATTTGAGGTAAATTTCAAATACATTTCAGTAGAAATTGAACATCAGTGTTTCAACACTATTAGCAAATCACTGTACACGTATAACAACTCAACTGTATTGGATCTTCTCCATCTGGAGTTACTCTTGTAAACAAATATTAAGAAATCCAGGGGAAAAAAAACTCAAATGCTAAAAACAAATCCTAAAAATACAACATCTGTGTTGGACTGGAAGTTGCTGTCAGTTTGTTCCCCTTGAGTTTAAGGCACAAAGGATGCACAAAGAGATATATGAAGGACTTTAAATAGACAAATGAGGGGAAATCAACAGTTTTGATGTCCCTTTCTGTAAAAGTTCCATTTTAGAGGCACTGTAGAAAACATCTTTGAAAGGACCAAGATAAAGGTTCCCTTGAAGAACAGTTCTGAATATATAGTTATATCTGAATGTATAGTTCACAGACTGCTTGTTAATCACACTGTATTAATAAATCAATAAACCACTTCATCCTGATTTGATTTGAATTATGCTTAAAGAAACCGAGCATTTTTTCCTGTCACAACACCTAGCTACATTTTTGGCTCCATAAGAAAAGGGAGGATTTGTATCTGGGATTCCCCATAGCCTTTCCGTTCCAGGCATACTGCCGTTATGTCCCATTTCGAGTCACATGCCTCCAATATTTCAGAACCAGCAGTACTGAGACCAGGAACACTGCTGGTCACGTTTGTCAGCATGCTGGTCTTGAACGCACTGAGCTTACCCGCACTGCAGAGAGGCACACTGCAGTATCCTTCTGGACATCTCTTCTGGTTCAAACCACGGTATCTGAAAGAAAGGACAGAACAAGCTACAAAGCCTGGAAGGGGCAGCTTAAAGCTAATTTTCTTCTTTGAACTTCTTCCCAAAACCAGAAACAGATAGGTATAGGGAAAGGGGAAGATTTTCAACAATTCCAGGTGAGGACAGTTAGTCTATTGTCAGTAAACAGCATACTGTACGTGAGCCCTAAGCCTGGGAGACTGATATGCAGCTAGAAAACTAAGCTGCAAAAGAACTCTTCCGAACAGTTCTTCAAAAACTTCATCCCTTGAGTTGTCTTCCTCGAACTTTGACAGAAAGCCAAGACCCCGGCTTCTTCTGATCAAGGTTCAGGGAAAAGGACAATTTGTCTTCTAGCACCATTCTGTGCGGACGGGATGTTCTGCTCACAGGCTTACAAATCCAGGAGAGCTCAGCACAGTAGCCCTCTCCCCGCAGACACTGAGCACCTAGTGAGTTACTCTTTATTACTCTTGCTGCAGCCCCAAATTATCCCACGCGCAGAGATCCTTCCTTAATGCCCTGGGTCTCCCCAGTCATCAGGCCAGGGCACCAGAGGAGCACAGAGCACACAAGCTGAAGCAAGTCTGCATACACAGGACTAAGCTGGGGGAGTAACACACACACTAGCTGAAAAACAAAGGGGGTTTGTTTCTAAAACTAGGTTATATAAGGAAGCCCATGTGTTTGACCCTTTTGGAGCTGAAAACTCAATTCTAACAGACTATTCGGGGTGGGGAAGGCTAATATTCAGCTGGTCACTGGGAGGGTCTCCCTCTCGGAAGCACCTTGGCCTTTGCCCACTGGCAGTCCATCTCTACCCATGGCCCTCAGCCATGGTAAGGAGCCCCCAGGAGGCAGGTGCCCACTGTCACCTCCAAGTGGCACCACCATCCTCCATTAACTGCATCACACTTTCCTCTAGTGAGAGCAGGCAGTTTCCCACTGAGGCTCACAGGAAGTTTTGCTGAGGCTTTCCCATGAAACTGAAGCTCAATCCTTTTGCATGCTCCCCCTAAGAGGGTTATGTTGCCACCACCCGTGAAGTCGGGGAACAGGCACAGGTCTCCATGTCACTGAACCAAGATTTTCTGCCTCTAGCAAGGCCACCAGATGAAAGACAGCGTTTCTGACCCTGGGCTCCAGAAACAAAAAACAAGCGTCTTCTGGTACACACAGGGATGAGGTGAGAAGTCAGTGCGTGCACCTTGGGGAAAACTCACCAGATAGATCTGCAAGGCTCATGAACAATTCCTGTGAGCCCCTTCCAGTCCATGCAGCTTCAAGAGGCTGAGGAGCACAGATCAGCACTGGCAGTAGGAGAGGGCTATAATAAATGCAGGGGACACCAGCTTGTTCCTCTTGTTCCAGAGATCTGCAAAGAGAAGGAAGTCAGTCAGAGGTATAGAAAACTCAGGAGGGGAAGACGACAGCTTCTACTTTTACTGTGTAAAGATTAGAGGAAGGCATGGAAAACTCAGGAAGGCAAACAGGTATGCAACTGAGCTGTTGGGTGATGAGCTTTTGGAAAGAAAGCATAGAAATTCAGACCCTGCTGCATGGACTGAAGACATCAGACTGAGAAAAGCACATGTTTTGGGTGTCCTCATTGGGCCAGCCCTTAGGTAATTAGTCCCTCTGTAGTTTTCTGGTTTTGAATCTTTTCAGAGACACCAGAGTTCAAGCAACAGTACTGATTCAACCATCTCTTGCTCCATTTCTCCCACAGCCATCTTCATCCTGCTGGCAATGAGGGTTTTGGTCTTAAACACGGAGGGAGCATCATCTGTTTAAATTTTGTGCTTTGGTTTAGGTCCATCTCGAGCTGCTGCCATCTACGTACAGCTTAATCTTACAGCTTTGACTGGCAAGAGTATGATACACAGAAAGTCCTGGCAAGTTGGAAACACAGAGTGGGAAGGAGAGCTTCTCTTCTTTGAAAATGGTAGTTAACAGGACGCTCTAGGTAGTTTACAGGGAAGCTCTAGGTTTCATTGAACTAATGCTTCAGATTTGAAAGCGCTTGCCACATTCAAGCTCAGACTTCTGTGTGTTCCTGTTTGGCTCCCTAACTACAAGCCTCAGTTCAACGTAATAAGGATTTAAAACTGGGACAAATATTATGCATGAATGAGCCAATTGGAAGTAAGCGGTTTAGGCTCTGCAAGGTCTAGTCTTCCTTCAGCAACCTGGTTTCTAGTTTCCAATGGAACCCCAAAGGGAAAGGCATTGGGATGATGTATTATATCTATTGATTAAGGTTGTTAATGAAAACAACCAAAAGAGCAGGTGTTTGAGTCAAGTTGAAGAGAAGGCAAAAGCTAAAATATAAAGCAACAGATAATTTAAACAAAGGCTCTTGTACCATCTCAAGAACCCCCTCTGTCTAGATATCTTCCTTTCCCACTTTCTGATCTCTCCAGCTCATTCATTGCCCCATGGGCTTTGCTACCTCTCTGCCTCAGATTAAAAAAAAGGTCACAAAAGAGCAAACATCGGGTGATTAGAGGACATTACAGAAGGAGTAAAAACTCCTTCCCCTGAAGCTCTCTGATGGATATAAGTTTCTGATACAGAAATCAGATACCTACTTTCCACTATTTTCTTCAGTTTTAAAGGCTATCCTTTTAAAGTCAGCACTACTGTATTACCAGTCAGCATTACTGTATTACAGCCTGTTACTATAGTAAAACATTTTTCCACTAAGTAGGCACTTCTGCACCTGAGACATTTGCTTCCCAAACATTCTCACGCATACTCTATAAGGCAATGTAGATTGTAACCTGCCAAATAACGTTTGCAAATATCTATCATTTATGGTATCCATAAACCTATGCCTTGATGTTACATTAAATAAGTCATAACTCATGACAAGAGCAGAAGTAGAAAGGGAAGAAATATTGGACTAATTAAAGGAAGCTTTCCTAAATAGTTTCTTTAACCTTAACGTAATAAGCTCCTGTTTATCGTTTTATGCTGTATACTTGTAATACATGCCATGTCCTAAAGAAAGGAGGCCAGTTTAGGAAAGTGCTTAAAATATGCTTACCCCATAGCTGTGACCACAAAGTTAAGTGCTTTACTGTGAAGAAGTCTGAGGAGGAGAAGGAATATTACGACAAAAACATAGATACAAACTCCTAAGAAGGATAACAACATACTGTGCAAAGGAAATTTAGATTTCTTCTGAGTTCATCTTAGAAATCAGTTCAGGTATATGCAAGGAGATGGGTGGAAACTCTTTCCTTCATTTATGCTCCCTCAGTTACGCTGTAGGTGGTAAGGATACCATCACAAACTTGTATGTATTAACTGCACACACGCAACTGGAATCGGAAGCCCATTAAGACTGAACAAGTCTTCAAACCCTGATGCAGCCCTTCATACAGTGCGTTTCTACAATGCAGGTTTCATCGAAGCTCTGGAGTCATAGGGGGATAAATTCCCCAGCAGAAGCATGGGATAAGGAAACTGAAAATTGCCATATACCAGCCACCCTGCAAAACGGAGCATGGAAAGATGGTGGAGAAAGAAGGTTGGAGGAGGTATTCATCAGGTTAATTATTTTGGCCCAGCACCAAGCTAAATGCAGTTACCCAACCTGTGACTCACTGTGGGTGCACATCCAGCCAGCTCATCACACAGGCAGGTCACACGTGTGACCATCTGTGTCCAGCTCGAGAGGCAAAAAGTCCCCGAGTGCTTCCTTCCCCAGGGCTGCAAGGCTAGTGCGGCACCTCCTGCATCACTGTGCAGCCGGAGCAGCAAACATTTCTGTTCTCAGCTGATTCATACCTCATTCTTCCACCCTGTATGCTGGGTCATTTCACATTCAGATCTTACAATCAATATATAATGAACAGCCTACAGTCCTCTGTTTTTATATGTAAAGTGATTAAACCTGGCTGGGACTTTTCAACAAAAGCTTTTTGATGGGAAAATTCTAGGGGGCTGAAAACGCAAATTTTCTAAGGAAAAATATACATTTCAAAAGGGTTGTAAGGAGATTTTCTCAGGACAAGGATGAAGGGCAAGGGAGAGAAAACCTTCTTCCTTTATTGCCACAACATTTCCTCTCTTTCTTCAACATAATCAGTGATTTACAAGCTAAGTTGGGATAAAGGAAGGCCCATGCAGAGCACGGGACATGTATCTGAAGTCTCCCGCATCCCAGATACTAGCTTATTTTTTGATTGAAGGGTCAGTCTGACTGGTATGGGTTCTTTTGTGAAAGCTGTAGTTCCAGTTCTCCTAAAGTGAGGTGCTAAAGTAACTGCTGTATTTTTCCTGAAATTGAATTCTTTCTTTCTGAACAACTGACAGGTTTTTGTTTGTTTGTTTGTTTGTTTTAAACCCAGTGCCTTTATCTCCCCCCTTGCCTTTTTTCTTGGTTTGAGGTACTTTGGTTTTTGAGGTCCAGCGGATGTCATCTCTGCATGTTTCTCCACCCACAGAGAAGGTTAAATGCTACTCAGTGTGGGGGTGAACTCTGCGGTCTTGCGTGCTTTTTCTGGTATGTCTGACTATAGCGGGAGGAGGAAGGAGACAGTATTACTCTGGCCCGCATTTGAGTCTCTTCACACAAATGTATATACATATATACATTATATATACACACGTATATACACCTATATATATACATATATATTTATGTATGTATGTATATAAATACACACACACACACGTGATAAGGGCTCTCTCGGAAAAGCAGAAAGGTGGTGGTGACTTACAGGGCAGCTATCTGCTAACATGCCCACCTACAAATGCATGCCCGAGTCATACAGCTGCATTCTCCTCCTTGTCACTTTTGAATTGCCCATCCTGACCATATCTGGTGCATAGCCCCCTTCTCCACTCAAAATCTTCTTCTTAGATGGAGAAGTAAAACTCTAGCTAAGACATTTGCAACTACAACTTTTTAACAAGTTGTGGTGAAAACACCGGAATTAATGAAGCCTGTTTTCCCTAAGGAAATCTTTGTCTCATACCCCAAATATCACCAAAGTCTTGCCTGTTGTCACCTGCCACCTCACCCTCACAGCATGCTTGCATTTCTTATGCATACAGCTCCTGCATTTAATGCCTTCTCCCTCCCAATGCCTGCTAACTACTGGCAAGGCAAGAAACAGCAGAAACAGTGAGTGGTTTAGAGATACCACGTACTGTTCATTTAGCAGTTTGTAAAACCTAGCCTCCTCTGCCCAGCTACCAAGTTCATAAAGCTGAAAGGAACATCCCCCTGTGTCAAACGCCGTTACACCTGGCTGAAAGCATACAGGTAGACAGAAGATAAGGAAATGAAGCCTAGTTACCTAGCTAACAAGTCTGCTAATTCATTAATCTCAATCTTTTTGAGGATTAAATCATTCAGGGAGAGAACCTGGTTTCCTGCCTTTGTATTCTTCTCCAGCCATCTTCATCGGGTGACAGACCAAGGCAGGCACTGCCACAGCTGCTGACTTTGAGGACTCTGCCTCAATCTCCTACCAAGTTCACAGGACTCACTCAATGACCAAGATCACTCAAACACAGGCACAAAAAGAAATAACTTTACCAAGCTTTAAAGGGTGAGAAAGAACAGTAGTCTACAGGAGAACGGCCTTAGACAAGACTCTACAAATGTTTCAAGAAGTTAAAGCTTAAATTTGTTACCAGCAGGGGACAGCAAGACATAAATACTTTTCTGCTCTGTTAAAAAAAGACTGTTCGGTCTCTAGACGTCATGGTCAAAGACTGCTGAAAAGGAAGAGTCATAAGTGCTCAGACTTAGTCAGAACTGTAAGTTAATGGTGGTGAAGACCCAGAATACCAGAGCTTAAGGCCCAGTCTTAAAGATACAACCACCCTCCTTTGCTTCCCAAAGCTTTATCTTTACTCACCAAAATATCCAGGGAGAGATTTAAATTCATAAACAAAGACACTTAGTGCTATTGGATATGCTGAATGAGATCCTACTTGGCCTTGGTTGCTGTTTCAGAAGGGGAAAGATCTGCAGGTTCAAGGTCATAGCTGTCAGCCCTCCATCTTGGGTATTCCAGGGCACCTATGGCACCAACACTGCATATCTCTATTCAGGCAGCTGGCTCACAGTCTCCTGTACTTTGAATGGGAAAGACGTTTAAAAAAATTTATAAGATGTTTAAAATTCATCTCTGATCATAGCTTATATGATTTCACATGCCACTAGATGTGACGCCACTTTTATGACCACGGAATGACAACATCTACGCAGTTCATATGGAGGCTTTAAATCCAGATCGGGATAGCATTCTAAGATATGTTTTGCTCACAGAGAAATGATGGCCTCATACTTGATTCTAAAGCCTTTATTTTGCCACAGGTCAGAGTAGGTGATCAAAGTCTTT